TGCACGTCAAGGCGTTCCTTTTCCTCGATAACGAACCTGCGAATCGATTTCTTCAATGGCGAACGAGATTCTTGTCTAACGATGTATTCTTCAGAACATCGCGATTTCGTCAAAAAGGGAAACGTTACTCGGACCAATTGTTCCTTTTCCTTTACTATTTTCATACACCTCACGATCACACCATTTTTCCTGGATATTTCTCTGAAGTTACATTTTCCACGATATTCAACTTCACGCTCGTTAACGCGTCTCATTTCCCGGACAATGTATCGTTAAAAGTTCGATGTAAATAGAGGAAACGAATCGCTCGGGGCGACGATTAAACGACAAAGAGGACGAGTAATCGAAATTTAGATTTTAATAACTGCACCGATAGAACGTTATTTTTCATTTTTATTTCGTCGTTCATGAAACCGCACGATATACGATTTTAACGATCCAGGTACACTCACTGAATCTTGAATTCACCTTCTCGAGATCAAAGATACCGTCTGCGGTAGACAGCTCCGACTGGTCGTACGTACTCAAAATCGAGGATTTCCGGCAAAGTTCATCAGCAAGTACGCTAACTGTTCAGCGAATCTGTTACAAGGGGCTAGAATTCAAACTACGTTTGATGCCTGCGCCTCAGGTCCAATCGCCTCGCTTTAACTATTAATGAGGCTGCAACAGACGAGCCAGTTAATCGATTGCAGGAATTTTCTAATCAAACACAACACCGTGAACCAGCCAGAGGAAATTGCTCATTAACGTAACGTAACACCTCTCTTTCTCAACGCTTCTTCCTCTTCTGAGCCATTGAAAAATATTTCTCTTGGATTTAGAAGTTTTAAACACTTCCTTTTTTATTTTATATATGCGTTAACGATGGTAATGTTTTAGGAAAAACTGTTATGTTATTTTCCATGTAAAATTCCGATTTTTCCACCTCTATCACCTGTTACATAATATTAGGTACATGAAACTTCATCAAACCCTGCGAACACCCTAACTTTATATCCGTGGCGTAAGTCGCGTAATTAAGATTAGGTTGCCGAGAGTTAGCGCAGCGAGAAAAGTCGAGATAAATGAAGGACAGTGAACGGAAGATAAGACGGGACCGTTGGCAGAAAAGCAAAAGTTCTCTCGGCCAGGAAAGCCACAGTGGAGCAGCAAGTGGTCGTATTCTCAGGGCTAGGGCAAATTCTAAAGGACCACCGAAGTTCTTCGATCTGACGAAAGTTCAGGGGAGTTGGTAGACGAGTGTCCTTAGGGTCAGCCTGTTACCAGCTCGTGGACTTTGTCGCAACACAATTTTCGTCTGGAATCTTCGCCGCGTACGATAACATCGGTGTTTATCGTGGCTTCGGAAAGCGTCAACGTGCCCTTTCGATCCTCCGTTAAATAACAAGATTCCTTATCCTTCCGTCTTTTATCCTCGTGTAGAGAAACGACAAACCAGTATATCTTTTGTACCATTCGTTCATTTTTTAACTTTGAATTCGAAAACCGATCGCGTTCCAAAAGTTATTAGGACAGGATTCATTAATTTCCAAAGTACCACTTCAACAACCGATAGAATCCTTGTAGAATCGCTGTAAAATCTACGCATCCGTATAAAAACGATAAAAGTACGTAGCTTAAGGCTCTAATTAAAATCGAGTGATCGTTAAGAATACTCGTGGAGAATACGACTCGTTAGAGTTTCAATGAATCATTGAATTGAAAAGCGCAGGGTAGAAATTGAATTGATCTAAATCTTTCATCGGATCGGTCGATAAAAATTCGAACATTACCGTAAAATATACCGGTACGAGGAGAGAGATCTCGCGCAGAAGTGTTCGCATATCCGATCAATTTTCGACGTTAAATAGTCACCAGGCTTCGACGTCAGATTCCCAGGGCGTCGCGGTGCAATCACCCCGACACCAGAGTACTCTACGTAGAAGTGTCTCTTCCGGAATCAAATTGTCGAGAATAGGCCGAAGCTCTTGACGATCTTACCGTAGTTCTCCAGCCACGATCATCGAACTTTCCACTCTCGCGAAACTTCCACCCTTCTTCAACCCCCATCCAGCCCTCCTTTCGTTAACCCTCTTCCATCTTACCCCGTCGCTCTCTCTCTCTCTTCAATGATCGTTCTCTCAACGACGATGGGTCGTACTTTTCGAACTTTCTTTTGGTAGAATTGAATCGCCACGAAATCGGTTTCACCGGAAACATCGCGGTCCAAGTATCAGAAATTTCGGGATTCGTTCGTCGAACTTTCGGTTTATCCATCGTCCTGGATACGATGCAATCGAATCTCGAACGGAAAGGGTTGCTTTCCGATTTTAAGAAGTACAGCGTCGAGCACGTGGAAGACAAAAGTCATTGAAAAAGACAATGATCATTGTTTATTTTTAGATTTACGATTCCGAAGTTTGTTTTGAAAAGAAAAATTCAATGGCCTCGATAGGATGTCCCTTTTCCCTTTCAAGGGTCGTTCACCCCGTCACCGGGTTCGGAAAAAACCGATTGATAATAGGGGTCAGTTAATATAAGGGCAATAATTAGAGCGTGCATCCGTATAGACAGAGCAAACGATCCATCAAAAATCGTTTTTATCTCGGTTGCAGATCATTAAACGTACGAATGTTTTTTGCAGTTTCCAAGTGTGAAATTTTCTCAACTTTCATTCTTTGACTCCTCCGAAAATCTGACGAAACGGTCGAATTTCGTCGGTCGTTGTTTACCAAAGGATACGATTCCGTTTCAGAGGAAACAGATCCTCGACTTTACGCGGGAGATTCTTTTCCTTCAATGGATCTCTTCCTCTCATTTTCGCTTTACGATGTGCGATCTACCGGAAGCTTCGAACAATTCTCTTCCAATTTCCGTGATTTTTTCCACGATTCATTGGAAAAATCCATTGTCCATTGATCCCATAACGATCCTCCCTTGGAAGATCTCTTACAACTAACCAATCAGTCACATTTTCCATTTTTATTCTTTCGTCAGCGTAAAAAGCGACACAGGTTTCCACGGGACCTGATATTTCCTCCAATTGCGCGACACACTTCGCAAGGAGTTGAACGCGACTCTCGAGAGGAGTGTTTTGAACGATGATAAACGCGACAGCTATTAATTTCGAATAACCGGAAAGGAGTAAGGTCGAGTGTATCGCGGTTGATACAAGAGGAGATATCTCCCTGGAAAATAACTTTTCCTCTTTCCTTGCACGCGCGATGATGCGTGGCACTCGAGAGAATAGAGGTGTGCACAAACTGCATCGCGTTTCGGCCTCGGCTACTTCCTCCCTTCGGTTTTACCCCACAACGATTCGTAGTCTGCGTTCATCCGGCCGGATTATTTTTCTCATTTCCACGCGGAATGCTTCGAATCCTTCGTCCATTTCCGAGCGCACGCCGCCACTCCACACGGAACCGATTCATTCGGTGCACTCGAATTTCTGCTCGAAACCCTTTCATCCGGACCAAGAGCCATCGCGAGCAACGTACTTTGCTCTCCTCAAAAAATATTATTCCCTAATCAAGTTACAAGCTCCTGATTGTTCTTTATCAGGATTTTGGCAAAAATGAATTTCTTCCCTTCGAAGTGATAACATGCACTAACAATCGATAGATCAACTGGAAATCCTCGAAGAATTAATTCGTTTACGAAAGAGTTAAAACGAAAAGCGCGTACCGTTCGCGTTTTCACGCGACGTGAAAGCAAATACGTGTACCAGGTACGTTCGGACTTCACTTCCGGCTGGTACTCGTTTACACCGTTTCTTCAGGGAAGTTTCGTCGAGAGACAGTATCCCGGGCAACGTCCGCGAGAAAACGAGTCCACCGCTTGTCACGAGGACACGTTTCGAGGCGAACTTCGATTAAGATTCAGATGTCGAATCGACGGAGTAGTTTCGTGGCCAACCGGGAGCTGAGAATTACTGAAACTAGATCGTACTCGGAATTAATGTCATCCTATCCTCTCTTCTCCCTCTATCGGCGCCGATTCTCCCTGAGATACTTCTACTCTTGCCCCCATGCGATCTCAATTTCATATTTTCTCCTGGATTCATTGATCTGTCGCGAAAATCCCTTGAGAATCTTTTCAGAATGACATTTGCGAAAGGAAGTTGAATTATTAACCCTTTGTAACTGGATATTCATTATCAGTTAACGCATCACGATATTATTTGGGATATTTTTTAAAAACACCATAATAGGAATATTGAACCACCCCAATGCCATCACACTGCCAGTTCCTAATATTCAACAGCCACCCCAAAATAAAGCATGGCAACAAGGTAGATATATACCTAAGTGCCAACTGGAGCTGAATGCAGCAGAATCAGGTCAACCCTGAAGAACCCAAACTGCAATGTTTACAGAATCTCTATAAACCGATCAAACAACCACCACGTCCTAAACCCAAAAAATTATAACAATTCTTTACTTCTAAATATCATCACGAATAGTTGTTACAAACACGATTCCAGCCGTGAGGGTGCAAAGTTCGAGAGTAGAGTTAAAATTCAGTGTTCGAAACACAAGGAACGAGCGGTCGGTCACCGGGGAACGAGTCCAGGAGCCATTGAGACAGAAAGAAAAGCGTTTGGATGCCGACAGGTCGACTCTTTTCACCGATCGACAGTGGAGCGGTACGAGAGAGCGATTCGTAGCCTCCGCTCGGCCGAGGCAAATGGAACGCAGCGTACAGAGGCTTTCCCGTAGGATCGATATGGTAGTGGGGATTCCAGAGGTGCGAGAAAGAGCCGGCTTACAGGATCGAGAGGGAGCGAGAACGGGAAGGGTACTGGAAGAGGGCTGAAAGAGGGAAAGAACGATGAAGGGAGAGAGAGATGGAGAGGCAGCTGGATGAACCGAGAGGAGAGCAGGTCGGAAGGGAACCCGTTGGGTTGCAGAATCGGACGAGATGAGGGCGCTTTAACCGACGCTTTCTACATCGCGCCATCGTTGCAACCAACCGCGTCGGCGTCGGCGTCGGCGTCGTGGACGTCCTCGTTGCCGGCGAAAACGGCACTAAAGCGAACACGCAGCTGCCGAGGCCAGACTCCGCCGCTCGGTCCAGTTTGCCTTCCGCTCTCGTTTGGCATAGTGTCGCGGCGACCAGGCGTCGTCATCGCGTTTACACGCTCCTCCACGGCCCCCCTAACGCGTGTCCTCCACCTCCTGTCTCCCGTCGGCAACCAGATCAAATGGATAATTCGTCTACCACCGACACAGTACGAAGACAATCTCGCGCTGGTGGATAATCGTGTGAAAGAAAGTTGCAGCCGTTGGCTGGTGATAGTTCTCGAACTGTTCTACAAGAAAGTTTCCAGCAAGAGGAGTAATCCTCGACGGAGGATCGCCGAGTACTTGGGGTACCGTGGTTCTGGGACAACGAGATCCAGAAAGGTACAGAGGATTTTTCAAAATATCTTTATCGCTCTGACACGATGTCATCTGTGTGATGGTTTCCATCAAAAGTGTATTTTTTTCTCTCATATTGTTTTGACAACATTGATCGGAAACGCGACACGAGGTTTGAAGAGCATTCGTAGAAATCCTTGTTTCGTGTGCATCGTGGTTATGAATTCGCAGAATCTCGTTTCATTTCCCCGTGATCTTTCCGAAACTCCCGGAAGTGTATATTTTCATGGAACGTACGAAGTTTCCGCGTTGTCATCGTATTTGGTGTTGCAGTATTTATATGCCAGCTGCAGTTCGACTGTTCTTCTGTTTGACTTGGTCTCGGAGCGAACGTCGAGGAACTTTTTATTACTCCTTTGCACGTTGTCGTTTATTGTAATCCAAAGAAGGACCATCTATACGGAGCCTTTTTACGTATTTTATCAATAGCTTGCAGCTTTTATCGTCCGTCAATAAAAGCTGTCAACGACAAACATTTATACCCCATTGAGCAAAAGGTAGCGGGCGAAGGATGATAAATGATACAGTTTTATTAATCGAATCTTTGATACAGGCATTCGATTTCGCTGACAGGTCGAATTCCTCGAGAAATAATGTTTCCTTGTTAATTGTCGAAAGAAGTGGAAAGAAATCCGGGAGGTTTTATCTTTGCCCCGTGAATCGACGTCTTCCCGTTGGTTTCCCGATTCGTTGCTATGAATAAATCACGTGGAGTATCCCGATGCTCGAAACCCATTAGTCTTCGCGTAAAAAGTAAGCGGAAACGGAAAGAATCAGGATATATTATCCATTCTCGAGCAGAGATTTCCAAGCGGACGGTAAAAAAGTACGTTTCAGGGTGCGCGGAGAGGGAACGAACAAAAAATTTCCATTTTCTTCCTCGAAATGGATGCGGAAGCATATACGTACGCGTGGACCGTCAGCCGATGTTGGATTTACCGTTTTACAGGAGCGTTTTGCATTCCAATGAATATTAATCGAATGCAATTATTAAACGCAAATTGGAACTCAAACAACTGCCGTTTCAACGTGCCATCGTTTCTATGCTCGTAGCTTTCACGGAATTGCCTCGACTGCCGTCGTGCCTCTGCCTGCTCATTCGTATACCTTCATTTCCGGGCGCAAAATCGCTTTGGAAATCCGTTTGCACGCTTCAACGACCACCTCGCGACTACTATCAAGATTCTCTAGATCGAACACCAAGGTACCTCGTACGAAAACACTCCCCTGCTGTTCTTTACACTTCTACTTCGGTCTACGTGTTTTGAATGTCAACAGGAGGACTTTGCAATTCTTAAAATTGGATCAATTAAAATATCCCGAGTGGTAGTGTTTTCCTCATCAAATTTTATGATTGGAAATTCTTAATAATTTTTATTTTCCGATGATGGTTTTTGTTTTCAATTCAAATGTTCTATTAAACACCTTAAGAAATTGATATAACGTTAATCCTAATTATGTCAGTCAATCAATTACTTAAAATTTGTATCGTCAGTCTGTGATAGGCCCTGCAGCGTTCAACGTGTTAATATCGATAGGAATATTAATTAAGAGGAAGTATAAGAGTATTATGAAATTTCAAAACTTTACCGGATTAGTTGCTCGTAATTACTTACTTGAATGCACCTGTCGATAATACTGGAACCGGCTATAGGAAATTACTTAAAAGTATCAAGATCTATTTTCAAGTTAACGAACATCAGTTTCCACTCCAGACTTAATACTTTGAAAATATCAACCGATTATTCGCATCTGTCCAAAGTCAATGGCTAATAATTTTGATATTTTATCGGACTTATAAAACTGATAAAAAAAGACAACCGTCGCCTTTCATTTCAACAAAATAAATTTTAATTCTACCCCATAGCGAAAGAGCTAAAACTTCAACCCTGGACGACTTTTTATTTCGAATGCCCCAAAGGGTTAAACTCTATCAAATTTTAACTAATTATTAATTTGTTCCTGAAATTTCTCCTACGGATTACTCGTACCCAGTGAACGAAATTTTGATTCAAAGTACTTCATAGTGCGAACGTGAAATTCCATCGAATCGAAATTGAGGAGAATCCCGTCATATCTCAAATCAAATGGTGCTCAACTTTCAATCTCGTTGATCAGCCGCGAACAGAACTAGTTTCGATGGCACAGATGTGCACGATCCGAACGTGGTCACTCTAATGAATTTCACACGCTATTGTGTCGCATAGTTTTCACGGGAAACGGTTGGCGGACGAGTATCGAGGCTGGCCAAAGTAATTTCGAGTCGCAATAGAAATTGTCCGGTTTGTCACGGTCTGAAAAAGTGTCGATGGCTAGGGGCGCGTGACGAACGAGAACGAGTGGACCGTTGGTGTACGAGGAGAAAGGGAAAGCTTGGCCAAACCCGGAAATTACAGGTACACGTGGACGAAATTAGTATTCCATTGTGACGTTTAATTCAGTGGACCCCGTAGGCGAAGCGAACCCCGGCCGAATGGAGTGACTGAAGAGGAGACCCGACACCCCATCTCCTCGCGCTCTATTTATTCCGTGTCAGCCACGATATTAACAAGCCATTTGTGGCTCTCCCTTGATTTCATCGCCTCTGACCGGCAATTTCAGGTTCGAGCTGACGTTCCCACCGTTGTTTCATCGATATCGCCCACGGATATTGTTTTTTTTCTGAGAATAAAACTTTTAGAGAATGTTTTCCCGACTGATATCAAACATTCCCTGTTTTTAACGTTCTGTGGGTTTTTATAATTGAAAGAGATAACGCGAATGTGTGAAGAGTTTTTTTTAGTTAAAAGTATCTGTTTGTAGACTTTAGTGGTCGAGAGTTGTTTGAAAAAAATCACACAGCGTTATGAACCTAATTAGCAAAACTCAGGAAACAGAAATGTGTTTCAAAGTAAAATAATAAAATATTAAATTATTAAAGATAAATGCGGTTCTAATGGTTTGGGAAAACAGTAAAATTGCAATGTTAAGATCACTCGTTTCCGGACTCGTGAGACCTGTATCGATCCTAGAAACAAGCGTCTTAGAGGTAAATCCCTCGATAATTAACCGTTCTGTAGAACGAGTAGTTTAACCAGGATCCGATCCCATAATTCGGCTGCTGCAACATATTGATTTTACGTCTCGAGTTCCAACGATCCATGATCCTCTCTCTCAGTCGAGGAAATTATCTCACGATGCGTTGTTACGTGGCCCGCGAGCAGACAGTTTCAATTACGTAAAGCTTTGGAGGATCTCCGGATCTGCTGGAAAGTGTTTCGACTCGAAGCACCGGTAGCGAGAGCGCGTTCCTCCGGCATCGCGCCCACCAAGATTTATAAGGATTATATGTAGTTTCTAGAGTTGCTTATTGGAAAGAAAGTAGAATGTCGTTGAGAAGAGGACAAAATGAATTTCCACGATTAGGAAATCGGCTTGGTGCGTACAATCCAACTGTGTCCGCCCTTTACGCTTGCAAAGCCTGGTACTCGCTGAAAGAGCTTAATTGAATTTCTCTTAATTAACTGCCTTCGTGGCGCTACGATAATTGCAACGCACGAACTCTCCCATTACCGTAATTGTGGGTCTAATTAATGTAGTCCCGCTGTTGTACGCCGACTTGGCCGCTCGACGGCCAAGCAGATTAAATTTTTCAAGAAACGTTCTGAAAGACAGCCTAATTTTTGTTAGAATGATTTATAATTAAATTCTCCGTGTTATTAATTTTACAATGTTTCGAGCTATTTTTGAGGTTCCTTCTTATCTTACAACAATTTCCTATTTCTGATGTTTGATCTTCTGAACTACTGACCTCGCTTTTTGGCTGCGTAACAACGAAAAAGTCGGAAGTATCCGGAAGACGGATAAGTCGCCTGTTAATTAATGATCGGACCTGTTATTCGACGAAAGGGATGAGCAAAAAGATGAAATATACCGTGACTCGTAAACAACTTTATCACCCATGTACAGTGACTGCTTTCTTGACACCATTGAAAAAAGTTCGATCATATATTTCGAGGGTAGGAATGAAACTGGTAAGGAAGAAACGCATAGCTGCACGCCATACACGATATACTTTCACGAGGGAACGAATAGAGGAACCATCGTTCGACGAGAGTCTAGTACGAAATGGACGATTACACCAAGTGCTGTATCGTTGGCATGGAACGAGAGATTTATGGAACCGCAGGAATTGTGCGCCACGTAACTGGAACGAAAAAAAAAAAAAAAAATGTGAAACTATTCTCACACCGTAGCTTTGCTTATTTCGAGAAACTTTGACAAAGTGGTTGTGCATGCTAGCTATCTGCTAAACGTCGACTGAAAGTTTTCAGGAAGGTTGTGTTGTGTAACTGATTACACAACAAAGCGAAGAACACCATTGTATCTGGATATATCTGTGATGATCAAGTATATTTTATCAAAAAATTGCTTTGATGACTTTAAACTTATCATTTGTCTTAAAAATAGAAAAATAAGAAAAATAGCAAAGACCATAGTGAAAGGGTTAATTAATAAACCTACCCTCAAAAATAATTTATGCCAACTTTACACAAAGCATAGTTGACGTAATTACAAAGAAAACAAAAAATGACCATAAGCTTGTTTTTCCTCGCAGTACCATTTTTCTTCAAATTACTGCCACTCATCACAGCAATGCAGATTATTATCTGAAGAAATCTAAAGGAGCTGATCCACGTCCGGTAAAAAAGCGTTGCTAATATTCAGCTAATCAATATCAGAGTCATCGCGATTGTAATGGAACGTGAATTCAATGGAGCTTGCAAAAATCGACGGGGATAATGGCCCTTTATTGGCAGGAATCTCTTTTTTATTTACGTCAATCAACATCATCGATCAGTTCCACAGAACAATTTCCACGGTGAACATGAACTCTTTTAAAATGATTTTATATGAGGATGCATTTTAATTGAGATTATTGGTGATTGCATTTTTGTGACAGGTGGTTTGTAAAAAATAGTCATATAACTGGGATTTTTTAATTC